CAACGTTACGTCACTACGAACTACAGAAAACTAGGTCCAAGGATAATGTATGATCAAGCTCCACTAGTAAGAATGGTGTTAGTGTTTGATATCAACAAAGTCATACCATTGTGAGTGACCAAGTTCATTTGTTCTTTATGAACGAAAAAACTTTTGGTCTATAGAACGTTAAATTAACGACGTAAGTAACATCATTAAAGATTAGTGGTTTGGCAGGTTTTTCTCTGTTATGTACTCCTACTAAAGCAAGAAGTGTGACATATCATACAAGTTACTAATCTATTCTACCAATTAGCAGTTATTTAATTTTGAGTGGCTTTTTATTCTTCTTTTTTTTAACGGTAGTTACATTGGAAGAAAAAGAAAGAAACTATATAAAAATAAAATGTGCTCAAATGGCCCTTAGGGACATGATAAGAACAAATAAACAAGACAAAGGTAATTGTAGGAAAAAGAATGTTTTTAGTAATTTTTTTTCAAGACACATGCTTACATTTAGCAGCAGTATATTCATTATAATTTAAGAAGTGTACGCAACGTAAAACACCCCCATCAGAACATTCATATAATGAAATTCCTATATTAACATCAATCTTCTAATATGGCAGATTAGTGCAATGATTTAAGATTCATATATAAAGATAAATATATTTTATTAAAAATAGCAACATGAGGAAATATTATAATTCAAGATGCAAATTCTTCCCTTATAGAACAATTAATATTTTTTCATGATCATAAAATTATAATCCTATCAATAATTACTGTAATAGTAGCATACATTATATCATTAACAAAAAACAAATTAATCAATCGATTTCTATTAGAGGAACAAACAATTGAATTAATTTGAACAATAATACCAGTTATTACCCTTATTTTTATTGCATTACCATTAATACGACTATTATCCATCTATCTGTCTAATTTAAGAAGTGTACGTAATGTAAAAAGTGTACATAGTAACTACCTTTAATAAGATTTCGATAAAATTTTTAAGAGATCAATTTTATTAAATTTCATCCACTACTTTAGTAAATGCAGACGCAAATGATTTTTGTCAACACTTTTATTTTGCAAAGAAGAATCGTCCTCTTGGGCCCAAAGTTGGAGAAACGGTGGGGACTATTGTAAAAATGGTCCATTATAGATTGCATCGAATCACTTTAAACTAAATGTTTCTCTTTACATTTTTGTTAGTATAATTTGCAGGAACATGTTAAATAAATAATTACAATATTTTTTTAAAATTAATATTTATTTCACACCTGTCAGAAGTTTAGAAGAAGTGTCGAGATGTAGACGATTAAGACCTTGGAATAGGCGTGAGGAAGAGGAATACCCAGCGGCGTCCTTCCTGTCTTGAATTTAATATTTATAGTTAGTAGAGGAGATCCCTCATCCAGCTTCTTTTAAGCCTCCTTCGGGTGCTTTCGGGCATGTCAGTGGTGGCCATGCCTCGAATCAATGAGTTGGTATGTCCATGTAAGTTATTAGGAAATCTTTTGTACTATGTTCGTATATGGTCGTTAACTGTTGGCATCTGTAGGTCTTTATGTAAAGTAATGTTAATGACGTGCCAAGGAGCCTTGGTGATAGTTCTGAAAGTTTTAGATTGAAAAGTTTGTAGTTTACTTATGTGAGTCTTTTTGGCTGTCTCATATATATGTGAAGCGTAGGTCTAAATGGGCTTAGGTAGGTAAATATACGTATTAAATTCCTGTCTAAGTTTTAATTTCGAATGACTTGCAAGGAGTGAGTACAATAGTCTTGGTTTGTTTTTGATATGTGGGCCCCATGTCACCCTTCTGTCAAAAGTCAGTCTAAGATATGAAACTGTTTATTCATTTCATCTGCTTATGTTTCTGGAGTATTAGAAATGTATAAGTCCGGCATTATGTTAGCTTCCATCAGTTCGATATAATATTAATATTCATAGAGTTGATAATATTGAAATATGTTTGCAAAATAGATATTTCACAAAAATATAGAGACCGGAATTTAAAATAATATTTGTTTGTTATCTTTTTCAACCATCAGTCTACGTTTAAATCCAGATTCATCAAAAATAGTTAAACGTCTTGGTTTCATGCCAGAACAAATCCCACACATCATTTAGAAAACTTAATTTCCTACGCCAATCTTTCAAAAATGTTAAAACTAAATGTGGCAAGTATATCCATTTCTTCATGAAGTATTCCGTTGCTCTGTTATGACATACATATTTACACACACACATATAAAGAGTCAAGGTGACATACTGAAGAATGTCAAGAGTGAATACGTAGATGGCTCACCATTTTCATGTCATCTTCAAGGTCACTTTTGTTTCATTAGTTAATACTATTTTTTGGCTAAACATTTTCATCTTCAGGTATGATTCATATTGAGATATTAACTTTTTAATTCTAATTATTTTTTCTTGGCATGATTTTTTTCTTCTTCAAGCAATGAGCCATTTTAAAAAAAATCATTAAAGTCCGAGGACAAAATATAGATGTATGTATACTAGGTTATAATTGTAAAAATTCAAAAGTACTACCGAACTATATATAACTACCGAAAAGTTCCATTTGATTTTTTTTTTTCCGAATTCCTGATAAATTTATAGTTGTCACACTTCATGTAATAAACATAGTTGAAAAAAAAAAGTCCGTAAAAATTAAAATCAACAAGTGAGCCAAAGTTATCTATCCGTGAAGATTTAGTTTCAATTTATTATAGCTAATAAAAATTTAGCAGGATAGCATGAGTGATTACTTTATAGCACTATAACACATTAAGCCTTTATTATAAGCTACGTGAATAGTAACAAGTTGTAATTATAATAGTAACTTTATAAATTGTCAGTCGTAAAGGAAACAAATAATTTTAAGAAATTTTTCTTTTGAGAGGAGATAGAGGTAGTAAAAATACAAAATAAAAGATATTTTAAATATTATGCAAGAAACGGGTATATCATAACTCGGCCTGACCTCAAACGTACCCGAGGTGTATTTTATGGGTTTGAGCTGGATCTTAGAGGTAGTGATAAAGGTTTCTTATTGGAAACCAGTCAGCGGAAAGTATTTTTAAGGCACTATCTAAAAATATTAAATATTTACCTTCTGGTATTATCCTAGGTGCAGGTCGTGCCTGGTACTATAATAAATCCTTAATAAGGGCCGACGGCATTTTTATTTTTACCAAAACAATAATTTTCAAATAAGTTAAAATACACAATACAGTACAATACAGTTATGATAAGAACCCCCATTTAGCTTTTGCTATGGTAAAATAAATATTGTTTACTTGATCTTGTACAGTAAATTCAATGATATTGTAAGTTATTAAATTTTAATGGAACTTTTAGGGGCTGATAATGAACTGAAAATTCGGAACTGTTGGGCACGGTCAAGGTGAACGAATGAAAATTAGACTAATTCCCTTAAATACAAATAACAAAGCCGTGAGTCTACAAACTAGAATAGTTTTTTTTTCCAAACGATAAGTTTCTTTTCTTTTTCTAATTCTGCATCATTTATTTACAGGCTACTTACAATACCCAGTCCTGTCAAAATAATTGGTGCAAGAAAATATATACAGATTTCAACACCAAAATATATGTTTTTAAAAACTTTATTAGAAATAAAATGTGTATCCATAGAGAGCAAAACAAAAAAGAAATTACTCAAAACGTTCCTCTTTTGCCATAACACAGGAATTTACTCTCCGTGGCCAGTCATCAATAGCCGCACGCAGTACTTCTTGAGAAAAGCGCTCAACTGTTCGGACCGGAGATTATTTGAGGCTTTCCAAGTTAGAGTGTGTTCTGTAGCACGCCATCCTCTCCAGTTCGGACCAGAGCCGATAATCTAGAGGGTTGAGATCAGGACTTCCTGAGGGCCAAACCGAGGCAGAGATGAACTGTAGAATGTTTTTTTCCAGCCACTGCTGAGTTGACCTGACCTTGTGAGCTGGAGCGGAATCCTGCTGGAAAACCCAATGACTTCCAGCAAACAGAGTACCATTTAGAGGCTGGACAACAGATTCCAAAATATCGTTCTTTTAGCGGTTTTTTAATTTTTTTCCCCCCCCACAAAAATGGAACTTTGTGGGCCATCAAAGCAAACCATCACTGATGAAGAGTGATGACCTCTTCCACTCTTCCAATGACTTCCTGGGCTTCTTTAGAGCTGTGTGCGTACACAGGATCATTTTGGTGATTAAATTTTTCTTCAATTGTAAACATTTTCTCATTCCTAAGCAAAATCTTTCGATGAAGACCACTGGTGTAACGGCCAAGGAGCACTTTGAATCTATCCATTCTCATTGTTTTTTTTTTAGGGAAGTGGTTAGCCTATGTCCTGTCATTCTTCGAAATACTCACATCCTAAGGTCACTTTTTATTATGCGAGACATTGATCTGACAGAGATTCTAAGGAAATGTCCTTAGACATGATTATTTGTTTTCGAATGGGATTTCTTCGGATTGGATCAGCCACTGCTCTCACTGCGTTTGACGTTCTCACAGTGTGGGGACGGCTCAGTCGAGGTCTGTCACATACAGATAGGGTCTCATTATATCTATTTATAGTGCGGTACAATAGATAGAACCCAAATCTCGGACCCACATTTTCCAACTTTGTGTAAAGCGATCACAGCAATTCGGTTTTCTTTTGTAACAGTATCTATGGCTGAACTAGGTATATACATCGCTAACAATAATATACATGCTTGCTCTACATCAGTGTTACTACCCGAAGGTATTCTAAGGCTCACTAGCGGATCTAGGATTTAATTTTGGGAGGAGGAGGCTTCAGCCCGAAAGATTTTTTTTTCATATACATATAACGATAATTAATTACAAAAAAAAAGAAAGAAATTAACTACCTATATGAAATGGTGTTTAAGTGTCTCTTGAAATCCTATTAAATGTAATTACATGAACAAGAATACTTTAAGAGATAGTTTTTAATATTTTTTTTGCGAAATAGTTAGAAATTTTAGGTTTGACATACCAAAATTAGGTTCTTCAGCAGATTTTTTCCAGTTTCAAATTTTTCAAGGTAATTTCGATTATTGTTATTTTCTCTTCCAAAGATGAGATTTTTCCTTATAAAAGCACACATTTTAAACGATGTTAACACTTTATGAAAAATATGTTCACACTTCGAAAGGAAACTTAAAACTGAGGAAAATGTCGAGAGAAAAATTAACAGCAATATGAGTCAATGTGACGTATCAACCGATATGGAGTACTGAAGAGTTGATAAGATGTTTCTCGGAAAAATGTTTTGTATTATTATTATTTTAAAACTCGTGACACATAGTTTTTTTTTTGTTGTAACTTGATTGCATTTAAGATATTTTACACTTGGGAATAATTAAGTGGAAAGATTAAATGTTGTTCATTGAAGAGTAGTGAAGTTGATGTAATCGAAAATCTTTGTTTTTCATTCAATAATAAATATTTGTCTATAAATATTTTAGATTCGATATCGTGATATCCATACATTTCCTAGATAATATCTATTTTGTCAGTTATAACAAGAATAAATGGGAAGTGAGAGCAGTTGAATTGAAATAGATTTCATTATGAACTACCTTATAGATTACATTTAGAAAAATGAATATAGATTATAATATTATATTCTGTTTCATCAGCCACGGGACGACTTGGTTTCAGAAGACCCTTCTCTGGCACACCTAGACTCTATAACGTAGGTACCCTTAATTAAATAATTAATTAAGAGGGAAAACCTAGCGGATGAGTGTGATCTCAGTCGAATCACCTCCTTGCACAACCGCCAACTTAAAAACAGTACTTTTCCTAAATAGCACTGAACCCAAGACCTTCTTGGGTACATAGTGAGACAGTTTTTTTTATATTATATTATAATATTATAATTCAGCAAGAATACTCTCATTAGATAATTATCCTCCATTCTAATACATTCGACGAATAAGCTACTTCATCAATTTGAAGTTTACTCCAATGTTTGCAACCAATTCCAACTGTTTTAAGCTATCTTTTTTACTGGACTTACTTTGTCCAAGAGACAGATTGTTGTAATACTCAATAAAGAAATAAATAAAAAAACTGGGCTAACAAATTCAACATTTCGATTTGAAATCCCTGGGTATGCAGCTATGACGGTCGTTTTATGGTTTAGCTTTGCATCTTCCGATTAAATGAAGTTGCTATCGATCTACCTAGAAAACCTTTTCCCTTAATTTATTTTTTTATTATTTATTTATGATGTTTACAACTGTATTAGAAATGAAAATACATCCAGTAAATGTGAACACAAGACCTTGAGAAACTACCCGCCGGTAGCTTACTAGCTCAGTACCCACTCTAAAAATGAATTTGCAACAGGAGATCTAGAGGCCATCTCCTTTCCAGACGCCTCGGAGGGTTCCCTAACATGAAGTTAAATAGCTATATTTTCACATGTTTGCCCATCTTCCTTTCCCCAAGGTCGATGGCGAATGTACCCCCCCCCCCCCTCCTAAGAACTATTCTTGCTCTCTTCCTAATGAAAGCAGGAAAGTAGAATTAGAAAAAATTTAGTCAAATACAATTACTCTTATTGTATTTCTGAATTGAAAATTGCTACAAATTGAAATCCTACAAAAATATGTTTTTTTTAAATATCGGTAATTACTCAGAAAGAACACATTTAAGTGTTACTTGAAGGCTCTCCTCCCTTTCCCTCCGTAAAAAAAAACTAAGGTGTGTGGCTTAGACCACACGATAGAAGTGAAAAGATTAACAATGAAATATAAATTATAAATAATAACTTGTTACACACATGATGAAATGCTGAAAAATTCGCTGGCTTACAGTATGAAGATACGATGTTTAGTTTCTGAGATATTTTAATCTATATCTTCAATAAAACTTTGGTTTTCGATCCTATTTTATCCTGTTCACCTCCCTAAAACGGCGAGTTGAGATACAATTTTTGAATAAGAGATCATTACAATGAAGATTAAATGCTGAACAATTTCCTGGCAAAACATTTCAATTAGTCGACTCTAGCCGACTTTACCCGAGCGTTGCCGCTTCGGAAATCTGCCGGATCAATTTAAGCCACTTTCTACAAAGTGCAAAACGCGCCTAAAGAAATGTTCACTTCAAAAATCGATAATAACAGGAACATTAATGCTTTTGCAAGAGGCAATTTTTAAAAATATATGTATTGATGTATGCTTACATTTAGTAGCTATATATGAATTATTATTTAAAAAGAGAATATATTGTGATTGTTTAAGTATTTAGCTTAGATCAGACATAAAAAAAAATATGGACCAATAGAAAAAAATATTATTTTTACATTTCGAGGAGGAGGGAAAAGAGGAGGCTGGTTCAGCACGAAAGCCTCCCTCCTCCCTTCACAGTAGATCCACCAGTGCCCAAAAGTTGGTAACTAAAGACGCCTCGTCAATCAATAGAAATGATTTCTGTTAATTTGTAATTTAAGAGCAAATGGTCGGAAAACCTAATCAACAAATACATTTTTTTTTGTCTGTAAAAAATGTATTTGAGCCTGTCAACTTATTGTTGACAATCCAAAATGTGATGGCGATACATGAAATAATGACATGACAGGCATGGGGAAGGAAAGTACGCTAAATTGAATTATAAGGAAAATAATACTAAATTGAAGGCATTTTTATATAATTTTATTTTAACGGTTTTTATGATAGATATGTTTAAGTAAAAATTCCATAATTTACAATTCAGAATACAGTTGAAGATCCAATCCAACACTTAGAGAGGCAGGTGAAAACACCGAAATTGAAGGTAACCCTAGATAACTAGTTGGAATACGTGAGTTTACTGTTTGTGAGTTATTTTTGGGCTATCCGCACGGCATTCCATATTGGATAATAATAGCAACTCCTCATAAACAGCAAGAGACAAGAAACTTCAACATCTCATAGTAACCTACTGACGTGTTGGAAAATAAAACATCTTACTCGTTGAGGCTGTATAGTCAATCTTCGGACATGGGTTTATTTATTTCTTTTCGAGCAGGTTATGAAAATACGAAATCATTTAAAATTTCTCATTAAAGAGTCCATTTAGTAACCTCCGCGAACAAAGGTTATGCAATGAATCAACTTCAAGGAACGTCTTGTCCGAACAGAACATGTTAATGCTGACTTGTTGATGTTACGATATGAGAGTAGAGTCATCTGAAAGAACTAGATGAAATCGAAACTGTTCATTTCATATAGCAGTTTTAAAAAAAAATTATTTTCTAAACCTAGGAAGAGATGACACCCATTAGATTAAATATTAAAAAAAAAACCTTCTTAAGAGAAACATCGTTTTTAAAATAAAATGAAAAGTGGATGGAACTGTGATATAACAACATGCAATTTGTAAATCTAAGCAGAGATGATAGTTTAAAAGCAATCTGAATGCTGAACTGATTTTTTTTGTTGGAGTGGTAAGGCAATAGGAATTCTATCAGTATGATAACGCTAAATGCAATCATTCCAATTAATCGTGAATTTGATGAACTGATGGAATGCAGCTATTGATTACACTAAAATAATAAAAACTGATATTATTAAGCGGTAAATAATGTACATTAAAAATTAAGAAATCGTATAAATCATGTCACAACAATATAATAAAATATCGAATTTTGTTTAGGTGGAAATTAAAAGAATCCTGTAAATACACACATATTGGACAGAATAGTATTTGCAAAAAAATCTTGATTGTCATTTGAAACTATTTGTTTATAAAAAGTGTTTAAATTTAGGGGTGTTCATAAGGAGGTTTGATGGCGCAAGTTGCGGTATCAAAATTTTCGAGGAAACCATATTTTGACAGATTTTTTATTTTTTTATTTATTATTTATCTAGACATATAATATTCTGTCACAGGGACAATAATTATATTGATAAATGAACACATTCACACCGTGAACACATTCGCACCGTTGACAGGTTTTTAATTTTTTTTTTTTGGAGGGAGAGCTGCACATTTCAACTGGGTTGTGAATTTTCGGAATAAAAAGTTTCAGAACATAGAAGAGGGGAAAATTAAAACAAACCGAAGCAAGTGTAATTTTATAGGATCTAAGATATTTTAAAATTATATTTTCGCTTGCACTGTTTTTAAGAAGAGGAGAGCTAAAAAATATTTTGGGAGGGTGTACATCCGCCTTCTACCCAGGAAGAGATGGGCACCCCTGTTAGTATTTATTTATAAAGGTACATTTACTAATTCACCTACTCTGTTGTCTCTCTCCTTAATAACATAGCTTAGAAAGCGGAAATAATCCTGTTTATAACAGTTTCGTTTAATTGAATAATTTCGTAAAATGTACAAGGAAGTCTTAGCCGAGATTACGTAGCCACTTAAATGGCGCCCGATGAGACCTTCCGATTTATCTTTAAAGTCCCCTTAATCTATGTAATAAATATTTTCAATCCCGGGGGATTTCAATTTCGTAATTCAAACGAGATTATCATCTCTAGATGATTGCATTAACGTCGAGAGCATTTTAAAAAGCGAGAATGTCTCATTTTACTCGAATTCTGGGCTAATGTGTTTTTGATGGGACTTTTCCTTAAAGTTGTTCATCCCCACCACCCTGAGGAAAAGTAATATATAGGGATTTTGAGAAAATGGAGGAGAGGAGGTTTGCGATAAGGTCAATGACATTTTAGTAATAATTTTTGTTTCATTCATGAACATGGTCCTGTTATTAAATTGATATATTAGCCAACACGTTCCAGCAATAATACTGCCAATTATAACAAACCGATTAATCTTCAAACAGAAAAAAGACCTTTGAAAAGGGCGAGTCTATATGGATCCGAAACTCGAGTGATTACCATAAAAGAAGAGAAAAAATTATTACCTTTGGAGATGAATTTTTGGGGACAATGTGTATGTGCCATTTCTTGATTGCAACATGTGCGCAATAAAACGATCATGCAAAACGTGCAGCAGAAAAAAAAAATTGTAAAACATAGAACCAAAAGGTTAAAATGGTATGGTAATTTGCAGAGGAGGATGCCAGAGGAGGGATCGCCAAAATCAACTTTTCTTTACCAACTGATAGTAAGGCGAAAAAGAGGACGGCCCAAAAAAAGATGGTCGCCAGACATCTTTGAGAAGTAAACTGGCAAGATATA